TCCAGTTCCATCCCGCAAAATCCGTCACATATTTGAGAATCCGTGTGAAAGCATCGTCTGAGCTCCTGCCCTCTTCTCATCTAAAATTGACTTACTAATGGCTTCAGAGTTTTGCCCGATCTGAGCAGTGCCCAGCATTTCCTGCTTATAACCCACACATTCGCTGCTTTTTTAACTGGGCCCTTTTTTCCTGTTTTGAGTCAATTCCTGTTGGAGTAATGCTTGTAAATTTTTGGGAGAAAAGAAGGCTGTGACAAGATTTTCCCAAGTGTACTTAAAAATGCAATCGTGATTTAGCGAAATACCGAAAAAAGTGTGTCGGCGATGATGCTCACTCAGTTTTGTGTTTAAGTAGTTGATTCGAATTTTTTTGAACAGAAGGTTGAAAATTCACTAAGTTTAACCAGTCATCAGGGCTACACTGGATGCATTGTGACCAAAGACTTATACTTGGCACGAAAAACTAGGGAAGGAGAAGTCGAAATGGGGCAGAAAATTGTTCTATTAGTGAGCAAAGCTGCAAGATTTGGCATATTCTTTCTTTCGAAATCAATAATGCTCACTGTCTAAGCTAGTATTGTTGATTTGATAGTGCAGTCATTGATACTTTGGGAATTTTTATTCAGGTCCCACCGTTCACAACAATCTTGCAAGTTCAAGCCTCGGATGCCGATATTGCCTTAAACAGTCAAATTTATTATTCACTGGTTGGTGTGTCGCTGGAATTTATGGTCGATCCGATTTCTGGGGCTGTCCGTAATTTGCGATATCTGGATCCGGGCACATACGAGTTGTCGTTGCTGGCCGAAGACAGGTCATCAAGGCTGTTTTGGAAAAAAACTCAAGCGGATTATGAAAGCGTTCTGTCCAATTACAATACAGCCAATAAGGCCAAAGCGGTTTGTTTCATTCATTAGGCGACATACTCAAACAACTGCATAAAGTGTTTAATTAAATTTATGAGTTTGCAAATTAAGCGTTTTGTAAATTTTTATGCGTTTTTGCTTATATGCAAATGCAAAAACGCAAGTTGTGGCGACTCCGGTGTGTGTGTGTGTGTGTGTGTCTGTCCGGATATTTCAACTCGGCACCCAAGCAAGCTCCGGCGCC